TATCTAACAATGCAATCAGTGTAAGCTGGTTCTTTGTACCCTCAATGAATCCCCAACAATAAAAAAAAAATGCAATGAAAACAATGTAACTTAAACATTTGTACCCTCACATTAATCTGAAGAAAAATACATTATGTATTATATTTGTCTAATATTGGAGGAAAAGTTATAAGGCAATGAGAAACAATGATTAAATTACTCGAAGTCGGTGGGGGGGAAGAAAACAAAAAGTGTGTATATATATGTGTATATATATATATATTCTTCCCATGATATTCAAAATGTAAGTAGTAAAATAATAAAACAGTGTAAACAAGAAAAACAGCAAAATGCAGGCTGCTAACCTCCCCTGGCTCCCCTGGCTCTGTGCTCTTCAAAGCTGGCCTGAAACCTTTCTCTTCCCCCAGGAAGATTTCCTGGATTAGCTAACCACACCCATGATAGCTCTTCCTCCTGTTTTATTATTTTGGCTCAAAAGCAGAATGAGATTTTGCCAGGCCTTCTCCAATTCAGGCACTTGAGGGTCTTTCTGAAGCGACTGAGGCTCTACCATGTTCCTTGCACCTGGGAAGAGCTCCAGACCTCCAGGCCTGGAATCTGAGTTCCTTTGGGGCCTAGTCTCTGCTCATCTTTTGCTGGTCTCCACAGCCCGGGTTGGAATCCCAGCTTGGGACAGTTACCATCAAGGTGACTTTACATAGCTAGGTGAACTTATCTCTAGGTCTCAGTATTCACATTTATAAAGTGGAGATAATAGAACAGGCCCGCAGAGTCTGTAACATAGGTGAGTTGTTATCCCAGTGTCCTGCTCAGTAAATGCTGGGTGTTGCTATACTATGGAACAAATCTACGTAGGTCTCATATGCATAACTCCCTTGGCCTAGATTTCCTTCTGTACCAAGTCCTTTTCGAAAACCCTGTGGCTTTTTCAAGGGCTGCCTCTTGAAACATCACTTTTGATGGCTTTTCAGGTGTCCCTTTTAGTTTCCCACAAAAGAGGGTGCAGCTGGGTATACCCTGCACGGTGGACTTACAGAAGGCCCGCCGATGCAGTGTCACTCAGGTGCACACTACCAGGTGGAAATAGGTATTAAACAAAAAATGTCCCATGATCAAATGCATTTGGGAAACTCCAATCTAATCAGGCATCTTCCCTGCAGGAATTCTCAGATCCTTTAACTGGGATCTTGACAGGCACCGTGACCTTCCAAGAGATAGATGAATGTGCAGCTTTTTCAAACTTTCAGTGAAGCATTTTGTAGAATTTATGTTCTAAGGAACATGTTTGGGGAATGCTGATTAAATTCTATGTCTTAAATTAGAAAATGGAGAAACCGAGGCCCCAAGAGATGAGTCTGCACAGTAAGTTAGCAGTCAGGCTGGGAGCAGGACCCTGAACTCCTGCCTGGGGGTTTAGGGCACTGGCCTGAGTCTTCTCATGAGGACTCCACGTTCTTCTCCTGCCCGCTCCCCACTTCCCAGGCTACGCTGACCACATGGGGATCACTCAGTTCCGCCAACAATTCCAGGCACTGGACCCTCCACTCCTGAAGAAGCTCATGTCAACCTCCGAGGGAATAGATGAGAGGAAGGTATGTGATGCTGGATGCAGGGAGGGGGTGAGGCCCTGGTTGCTCCACCTGAGGTCTGAGGAGCTCCCATTCCACAGGGGATGGTCCCGGGGGCATCTGCACCAGCTGGGTTCTGAAAGCTGGGCTTTGGAGTCAAAGCTGAGGGCAGCATGAGGTTTTGCTTGGACCCCTGCTCCAGACTCAGGATCCTACCCATCCCAAACTGACCCTTCTGAACTCTCTATATTACCGGAGTTCTCAACCTGTGGGTCGCAAACCCTTTGTAACGATGAAAATACATGCTACATATCAGATATTTACATTACGGTTCGTAACAGTAGCAAAATTATAGTTATGAGGTAGCAAGGAAAGTAATTTTATGGTTGGGGGTCACCACAACCTGAGGAACTGTATTAAAGGGTCGCGGCATTAGGAGGCATTAGGAAGGTTGAGACCCACTGCGAGGAAGCACAAGAAAAGAAAAAGAATAGAGTGAACGGAAGAGTGTGTCCCACTAGGAGGAATCCTAGCATGATGAAAGCCGTCATTCGCAAAGGGTCTCCCACTCGGCACCAGCACCCTGAGGTGCTCTATGAAAAGAGAGCTTTGGGGTCCAGCATGTTGGGGAAGTACGTAAACTAGCACTGCGTTTTTGGGAATTATAAAGCACATCCCCCCTCATGGCCTCTGCTCTGGCCATTCCCTCCGCCTGGAGCACTCTTTCTCCTAGTCTTTGCATGGCTGGTGTCAGATCCCAGCTCAGATATCACTCAGTGTCAGGCACATCTTGTTATAATGTTTGTGTGGCACTTACCCTCATCTGAAATTATGCAGAGCCCCTATATGTTTTCTGGCTCCTAGCACGTACTCCATATATTTTTTGTTGACCGAGTGAATGAATTAATGAATACACACACCTAACTTAGTATCCCCCCCACCCCCCACCCCTTCTTTCTCCACCTCTCTTGTAAACGCATGCAATCGCATCTTTACTCCTGGCACTAAACGCTCAATAACTAACGAGTTTCTATTGAGAATGGCCAGAGGCTTATCAATGATGACAGAGTTTGCTAGAATTTGCGAAGCCCTTTGGCATCTTCACAACAGCCCTGCAAAACAAGAGCTATTATGCCCCTTTTGCAAATGATAACACACAGGTTCTTAGAGTTAAAGTGACTCTCCTGAGGGCACACAGCCAGGAATTCATGGGTTTGTACCTGAATCTCAAGTTTCTCCATTCCAGGGTGGGGTAGTTGAAAGTACATAGGCCTCAAAGTCAAACGGACCTGAACATCCAGGTCACGCATTGGCTGTGTGAACCTAAGCAAGTTACTTGATATTTCTGCTTCGGTTTCCTCATATGTAGAGTGGAAACAACCGTAATACCTAGCTCAATGCCTTCTTATGAGGATAATGCTGTAATGGTACAGTTGATGTGCCCGACACAGGGCTTGGCACATAATGCAGGTTCAGTATATATTAACTACCATCATCAGCAGCATCACTGCCATCACTATCTTTCAAGCCCAAGGTGGTGACAATCCAGCTGCAGAGACTCTGTATTCACAACCAGGTTGAAAATTCACGTGTCTGTATGTGCCTGCAATCCCCAACCAATGAGTCAGAAGGACAGAAGTACACAGAGTCAGAAGTAAACAGGTCTCTTTGCCCTTCTCGGCAGTGGGATCCGGAGCATAGGCCTCCTTCAGAAGACAACGCGATGTCCTCTGCAGGGCCGCCTAACTCACTGAGGTGGGGACATAGATCCAGATGTCTGTGGCACAGAGCTGTCCCTTCTCCGGGTGGTGGTCCATTTTGGAAGCCATGAATTCCTGCCTGGCTTGGTGCCATAAACCACTGTCCCCCAATATTCATTCGTGATCCCCTCAAACTTGATCTCCATTCAGAGTCTGTCATGGAGCCATGGAGAGGGTCTCGGGCTCCCCTGCAGTTGACAATGGTGCAGGAGTAGGGTGTGGGGGAATTTTCGGAGGGGGGCGATGGCATAAGGAAAGCGTTTCTATTCTGGACGACTCAGCAGTTCTCTGTTATAGCCAAACGGAAACCACCTCCATATACACCAGAGGCCTCAGAAAATGGAAAATTACTAGTGCAATGGACTTGGTTGGGAATTTTCGCTTCTTCTTATTCTTTTTGTTTATTTGCTCACAAATTTCATTTGCTGCAGCATAGCATTTTGGTCGCAATGAAAGGAACGCCATCCTGCCTCTTATGAAAAAGCTGATAAATATTCATTTGCCAGGCAACGTGATATGCCATGAATTATACATGAACACGTGCTCGGGTGGGCAAACTATCAGCCTCTGTGTGCAAAGCAGTTAAGACCTCAGGATTTAATAAGACAAGTTTGACAGTTACAAAGGTCAATATTGTCATTAGACACTAGATGGCAGTAGAGGGAATTCATTGTCAGGGTGTAAAATGGGACTTGGTGAGGTCCCTTGTGTGCCTGACATGTGGAGTGTAAGTGTTGGTTTTTCATGCCAAGACTATTTCTCAGTGAACCACTCTCATTTTGTGGGTACCTGCTGTATATTTTGTATTCCAGAAACAAACAATAAAACAGGGTATGCTTTTTATCATAGATGCACAAACTCTTTTATCACAAAATAATCATGCACACAATGTGAAAAGGTTACAGACCCATGACCCGAGACAGTACTCAAAAGTTGAAACCTTCCCCTCTGGGAGTTATCCTATTTCACAGAAGACGCAGCTGAGGCCAGGACTACCCAGCCAAGTAGTAGTTGAGTTGAGATTTGAACTCAGATTCCTTACACAGGGCATTTTTAAAAACTGTAGCAAAATACACGTAGCATAAACTTACCCACCTTAACCATTTTTAAGTATTTGGATTGTTGTTATTAAGTGTATTCACATTGTTGTGTGACCATTATCGCCATCCATCTCTGTAACTTTTTTCATCTTGTGAAACTGGAACTCTATATCAGGGGTCCTGAAACTTTTTAAACAGGGGACCAGTTCACTGTCCCTCAGACCATTGGAGGAGGGCTGGACTGCGGGCCCCAGGATGAGTCGGCTACTAAGCAGACAGGCAGCAGCGGCAAAAACACCTGGCAGGCTGGATAAATGTCCTCAGCGGGCCGCATGTGTCCCGCGGGCCGTAGTTCGAGGATGCCTGCTCCATATCCATTAAACAATAACTCTCTGATGGCTCCTCCTTTTCCAAGCGCTGATACCACCATTCTCCTTTCTGTCTTTATAAATTTTCCTCCTCTGTATAAATCACATAAGTCTGTGTGTTTTTGTGACTGCCTTATTTCCTAGTGTAACAATGTCCTCAAGAGTCTTCCATGCTGTAGCATATGTCAGAATCTCCTTACCTTTTAAGGCTAAATAATATTTCATTGTGTGTATGAACCTCACTTTATTTATTCATTCATCTGTCCATGGATATTTAGGTTGCTTCAATGTACTATCATGAATAATGCTGCTGGGAACATGGGTGTACAAGTATAGCTTCAAGACCTTGCTTTCAATTCTTTTGGGCATATCCCCAGAAGTAGAATAACTGGATCATGTGGTAATTCTATTTTTATTTTTTTGAGCAACTGTCATCCTGTTTTATATAGTGGCTGAACCATTTTGAATTCCTACCAATACCACATATGAATGCCAATTTCTACACATCCTTGCCAACACTTGCTATTTTTTGTTTTGTTCTTATTTTTCTTATTCTGATAGTTGCCATCCCAATAGGTGTGAGGTGGTGTCTTGCTGTGGTTTAGATTTTCATGTCCCTAATGATTCTGGATGTAGAGCTTTCTCTCGTGTTCACATAGGAGTTTTGAATAGAAGCCCCTTGAAGGCAGGCAGAGTGCCCAGGACAGTTCTATATAAGATGTGCCATCCGTGGATGTTAATTTCAAATACTCATTATTGATTTCCTCCAATTTTAACCAAGTGTCTGCTGTCCACCAGACCCCGTGCTAGGCAATATTTATATAGAGATGAGCAGAGCACAGTGTTGAGGAGAAAGACACCAAAAGAAGCAATTTCTATACAGAGTTGGCTTTGGGATACCCCAAGAAATCGCCCTAGAACTTTTGATGTTTTCAGTGGAAGTGAGCGTGAGGGCCTCAGGGAAGACACCTTATAGCGGTGGTGCTTGAATTGAGCCTTCTGGGACAATATGGAGGAATTGGGTAAGAGACAGAATCAGGACATTTCCACACTGGGTAGAGCATCCACAGAGCTCTGGAGTCGTAAAGGTGCCTGGATAATTTAATGTTTCTGGAGCCTAAAAGATGCCAAGTGGCCAGAAAGAGGATAAAGAATTTGGCAGGAGCAAATGCTGGGTTCCTCTTAGCTCAGCTAAGATTCTCTCGGCTAGAGAATCTGGGTTTTATCAGGTGTCCAGTGAGGGTCCTCTTGATAAAGCCAAGCAGGACTGTGGTGTGGAAGAGCAGGTCTTTATTACTTAGACTAACTTGAAGCAATGTTTTAAAGGACATGAAATCCACTCTGCCCATTCCATGATACTCTATCTCTCAGGTTGTTTCTGTCTACTCTAGACACCCGGGCATATGTACTCAGGCTTGCAAAATAGCCTTGTCTTCCCCCCCCCAATCATCTCGAGCCCTATTCCTCTCTCCTAGGCTACCCCATCTGATTAGCTTACACTGAAGCCCATGCAGAGTGACTATAATGGTAGTATCTTGGGAAGGTCAGCAGAGAAGCTCTTTCCGCTCACCTTGGCTACGTCCCAGACTCTTCCCTTCCACCTTTCTGCTGCTGAGACAGGAGCTGCCACATCTCTCTGATCGATGTGAGGAAACCCTTGGGCCCACCCTCTTCCCCTCAGAGTGTCTACAGTGTTGATTGATTTTAGCCAACAAAATCTCTGTCTCTGGGGACTCGATCTGAAGAACATAATTAAGGGCTGTCAATCCATCTTCTTGAAGGCAGCCACTCTTGTTCTGTCACACACCCTCCTGGACACTCCCCATTTCCTCTAAATTAATCTCAAGAGTCTTTCT